TATATATATACAACACAATGGGCTGACTTACATGTAAAACATTGACTAACACTACGACACTTGCTTATACAATGCAATACGCATCTTCTAACAAGTATCACACAAACAAAATTAAGTGGAACTGAATACTGCTGCTACATCTTCACTATCATAATTCAATTTTATTGGACATTATTCTTTCACCATGAACTCATTTCAATAAAAGTTTAAAACTACATTTTCTCAAAGAGTACATTAATGATTTTCTTTCCTTCATGATTAAACGTAATTATACAGAGATTTAGGCTGTATAAGTGCCAATTAATTGATTGATTGATTGGTTGGTTGCAGGCACAGTAGTTGAATTGGCAGGTGTTCGGATTTACACGACGTAGGTACAAAAGATATGATAAAGTATACCCGTACGACACACTTCGGGAATGTTGGCGCTTTTGAGATAGTTGTATGGTTGAGCGGTAAGCAGGGCAATAAACTGCAGTCTTACCATCACTGCTGACCCGACATCTAGATCATGGTATTGGTAGCCGCTTTTACTTGGATAATGACTCTAAAACGAAGTCCCGGTATACATAAATGACTCACGTGTACCTTAGAATCCAAGAAAATCCTCGAAAAGATTAACTCAGTTTCCATGGTCGGGTATAAATCAGTGGCGAATTCAATGGAGGTGGGGGAGGCATCCCTAAACTTTTGAAAATAATTTTCAAAATGGAGAAAAATAATTTTTAATCAAAATTGTATGCCCATATATAGCCACGATGTACATATATGGTCACGATATGATGTCATAATGACCATATATAGGCATGTTAAATACAATTTAATGGTCTGGACAGGGTTTTAATAAAAGTTCAACAACGGTTAGAATTTATGAAATGTAATTTTAAATGTTCGAACGAACTCATACAACTTTCTACTTCGCAAATGTTTCCATCATGACATGCTGCTGCATGTAGGCTCAAAAACACTCGTTTACAAGAATAAGGTAAAAGAAACACGGGTGGGGAGGGGTAACCCCCTGCATTTTATCGAGTGATGATCTGTGAGTGTAGGATTATTCAAAAAGACTTTCTTTCGGCTAATAAAAACTTGACCGAGAAGTTGAGTCCCAATCAGCCAGTGGTCTTGCTGCAGTTTTACATCATTTTAGTATCATTGCCAACTGCCAGTATATATGCTAGGCCTAAAGTTAAGCTGCTGCGAGAAAGAAGCGCCAAGAGGAATATTAACAAAGTCTTGTTACTTTATTTCAATACGTCATTTACAAGTGCGATACTAAAAATAATTATGCTGGTTATGTTTTTTTAAAGAACACCCAAACTTCTATAAAATCCTTTTCATAGACATAGACATATAACTTTATTTTATATATCCATTTCGCTATAGTTAGATGATAACGAAGAAGAAAATCAAATATCCTTTAAAGCCAAAATGAACTGGAATTCAGAGTAGAATTGCTCTCAGATAATATGCATATAAGAGCGTCGTTAGCCATGAAAGAAATTTAGCTTCAACTGGATCACGTGCAATTCAGGCTTCCAAGAGGTTTCTCAAGACGTTTTCAGTTATTATGGTCTCGTTTGCCGTTTGTGTTCTACCAATTGATGTTCTTACCACTTTAGACATTCTCTTCGATTTAAATTGCAAACACAATTTTTACGTTGACTTCTACGCTATTGCATTCATGTTGTATGTAACATAGGCTGTGATTAATCCGTTAGTGTATGGCTGGCGAATAAGGAGGGTTTCTTACAAGAAAGCCAAAATATAGTATGGATAATAACGAACCAAAATAGTACAAAACTGATTATGCCTGTGCAAAATGTGTAAAACACTTTTATTTGTGAACTTATTATAAAACGTATTGGATTCGTGGACAAACAAACTCTAAGTCTAACTAGTCAAAATATTTCAATTGAACATATACAATATCATGCAATGTCGACGTTTAGTCTGATACCCTACTTGCTTATGTTATTGATTTACTGAAAAAAAACCCATTAATTTCTTTTATTATCTGACTGCATTTGATAAGTGGAGTTATATTAAACATAACCTTTTTTCCATGTTTTGTTCTATTTTTTATACTTTTTATTTTGTGATTTTGATTGCTTAAAAGGTTTAGCTGGTATTAACGTGTTTTAAGTAATCAAACGGTTTTCAATGAAAAAAAAAAAACAGGCTTCAATGGAGCCCAACTGCCTAACGTTAGAAATCCATCAAACTACAAAAAGATCATTGATATTATATTATCATACTATGATTACAGATTAAGGTAGTAGCTATCGATGCAAGTCTGAAAGTGGTTCATGAGTCTGCTGTTCAGTTTGATAAAGATTTACCAGAATTCAGGTAAAATAGACTATATTAATCTTTCAGCTTCAGTTTCTTGCATATAATATTGCATTTTAGAATGCATGTACAATAAAACTTTTAAATTTATAGAAACCCTGGTCACTATGCCTTTTAGGGTCGGTTGCAATTAAAGCACAGTATGGGTGACTAATGAAGTACTGTGTAAATATTATTGAGGATACATTTAGGCCTTCGAAAATAGTAACTCTGTCATGCTTCCTCTACAGCTCGCACTGACCTACAGTACTGTATACAGAGATTTTACTCTTTTTTTTTTTTAATTATTAAACAGTACTCAACACTATGTTTAGATTTGACTCTCATTTGTAGGAATGTGTATGGAGTTTTGACATTCCAATATTAACCTCACTGGGTTACTTTTAGTATTGGTCATTATTTAAAATTAATCTTTAATAAAGATTAACTTTTGGTACAGCAATTGTACATTATAACTTGTGCTTGGTTTTCAAATAAATAAAAAATATTAAAAAATATGTTAAAGATATTTAAAATACTATGTTGAAAATAGTAACTCTGTCATGCTTCCTCTACAGCTCGCACTGACCTACAGTACTGTATACACAGATTTTACTCTTTTTTTTTTTTTTAATTATTAAACAGTACTCTACACTATTTTTAGATTTGACTCTCATTTGTAGGAATGTGTATGGAGTTTTGACATTCCAATATTAACCTCACTGGGTTACTTTTAGTATTGGTCATTATTTAAAATTAATCTTTAATAAAGATTAACTTTTGGTACAGCAATTGTACGTTATAACTTGTGCTTGGTTTTCAAATAAATAAAAAATATTAAAAAATATGTTAAAGATATTTAAAATACTATATTGAAAATAATTTATGAAATACAACTTATATTATGTATCCTCAATTTATGGATAAAAGTGGGACGACCCCACAAAAGAGAGAAAAAAGCTTACTTTTAAAGTGAGTTATTTTAAGAGTGGGTTTCCGCAGCACTTAAAATTTCTCCGATAAATTATCCTAAAATATTATCTAAATACTTTATCCGATCATGCAAAATTATGGACAATAGTGCAGTGTGTTCAGCATAAGAACATTCATTTTGTTGACCTAGTAGGTGACCTTTTTTGCGCTAGATGGGTAGTAGAGGACCTAATAATGTCACAAATTTATCACACTTTTTCACTCATTTTATTTCTAGAACAGAAAGTGGTGTACACATTCATGATGACCAGTTGACCATTACTTCACCCACTATTATGTGGGTCAAGGCTTTGGACCTTTTATTGACCAGGATGAAGGAGTCTGGGTTCAACTTTTCTGCTGTGGTAGCTTTATCAGGAGCTGGACAACAGCATGGCAGCATCTTCTGGAAGGATGGCTCCGAAAAAGTATTAGACAATCTGCAGTCAGATTGTCCATTACAAGTGCAACTGAAGGTAACATAATTCAAGTATTCAATTAATATTTATTTCACAAAGCAAAACAGTACCTCAAGTTATATACAATAAATTTTAAATGAAAATAGATTATTGTGAAAAAAGTGCCCTGCTGTAAGCAAGCTTATTTGAGGGGTCCTGAACATAAGAGTGTGTCTAATAAATAAATCTTGATTCAAATAGATGACAAAAAGAAAAACATAAAATAAAAAGAAAAAGAAAAAGTAAATATATAAATATAAGGCCTACAACACAAAATTATAATGTTTATATAGTATATGCCAAAAATCTAGAAACCAACACATTACAACTTCATGATATTTGCATGTTCTTACTATTGTAAATTATCAATTGTCTCCCTAATGTCAGCTGATGATGGATCACCACGCATAGCAAAATACAATTAGTGTACTGTATTGAAGGAAGCTAATTTAACCAAGTCACCTGGAATTGACTTCTTCCAATATGAGACCCCTGCAGTATGATTGTACATAATGTCTTGACGTGTACATGGATGACAAGCCAACAAATTACTTGCCCCCCACCCAAAAAAAAAATGGAAATTTCATAAATAAATTATAAAACATAGTTGATGAACATCCATGTATTATTTCTGATAACTTATTTATTCTAAAAAATTTTTTTTGTTAGAATTGCTTCAGCATACCTGATTCTCCAATATGGATGGACTCCAGTACCACAGAGCAGTGCCAAAACCTAGAAATGATGATGGGAGGCCCTCAACAACTTACTGATATCACAGGGTCAAGGGCATATGAGGTAGCCTAGCAATGGTTGTCTAATTAATAACAGAAAATCACATTATCACAACAATAGAAAACACAAAATCGCAGAGGTAAAATTAACTCCAATATGGCACAGCGACGTAAAAACCACAGACATATAGTAATCTGCCTTAAGGTGACAATGCAAATATTGTGCCAGTGTATAATTAATTTTTATAGGATTCGAAAATCATCATTGACAGCCATAATGTTAAGATGAAAACAGAATGTACAGTTGTCATTGTTTCTCCTAAACTTAATTTTTGTTTCTCAGAGATTCACTGGTAACCAAATTGCAAAGATTTTCCAAACAAGACCTGCTGACTATGAACGAACAGAGGTTTGCGACATGTTTTCTTTTTTCTTCTCTGTATTATCCAGAAAACATTTCAGGATTCCAGCTTGACAGTAGGAATTCATCATATTATCTTATTTTAGTGACTAACATACCAGTTTATTGTTCGTTTATTGTCTTCAGTGTTGCTGACACCCATTAATTCTCTAAATCCATCTTTAGAAAAAATTTAATACAGAATGCAAAAAATTTCCATGTAATAAATATAAGGAATATGTTATACGCAAAATAAGTGAACTTTCATTTAAAGTTTAGAACATTTTTACATATTATTGTATAAATTTATTATGGTATAATTTGTTTTTGTCTCATTTCTTATGCAGCGTATTTCTCTTGTCAGCAGCTTTGGTGCATCTCTTTTCCGTGGAGCTTATGTGCCCATTGATATCAGTGATGGCAAGTATTCAAACCTCTTTTATCTCATTATTTATCTCATTTCAAACTGGTATGGTTTATACTTTCATTACATATTTTTATACAACTGAAAAGGAAATTTTTGTTTAGAACTTGTATGATACAATTATAACATAATAATTTTGTTGCTGTAGTTGAGCGTTTCATTAACATTATAGTTTTTCTAATTGTTTATATTTATGGTTCAAAACTAATTTGAATACTGTGTTTGTATTTATATTTTCTTATGACTTCTTAAACCTAATATTTGTAGAGGCATTCAAAACTAATTTTATTATGTATGTATAATTTCTTTTGGATAAATGTTTTATTGAAATATTATGTTTGCTTTGCCTGATGTTGTGCATGCCAGAAATGGATTCCTAATCTTGATTTTGAGATTATAGTTACTGTTGTCTAACTGTGCTAATTTAAGGGTCTATGTTTAATGGTGATAGGCTAATTGAATTATTTCAGTAATTACTATTTTTCTGGTTATTTAAAAGGCTTTTTTAAGGTGATTTCTTCCTTCATAGGATCCGGTATGAACCTGATGGATATCCGAACTCACCAATGGTGTCAGCAAGCTTTAGATGCTTGTGCCCCAAACCTGGATAAGAAGCTTGGACATCTTGTTCCATCATATCATAATGCAGTAAGTGATTTTAATTTTTTAAATGTACAATTAGCAATTACTTTACTCTAGGAATAGATTTCCTTTTGTATGTATTATAATTTTTATATTTCTATAATTTGAATTAGGGATCAATTGCCTCATATTTTGTGGATCGCTATGGATTTTCTCCTGAATGTAATGTCATCACATTTACTGGTGACAATCCTGGTAAGTCTCCTTGCTAAAATTTTAAAGTTAATAATTAAGTAATATTTATTGATTTCAATGAAATCATTACAAAGAAGAGATTCTGAGGACAGTCCTCCCTCTAATTAAAGACCACCTCCAATTAAAGACCACTTTTCTGTGGTCCCAAACTATAAATGTCTTAAATCTTTCTTATTCTAATTAGAGACCAAAACTGATAAAGACAATGAAAAACCTGGTCCCAAATGTGGTCTTTAATTGGAGGGATACCTGTAATCTTTATTTCCACACAAAATCAAATCTCAATACATAAAAGTTCAAATTGTGTAAAATACATTTATTCATAATGGCCAACATGGTAGACGATATGATACAATGTTTATAAGTGTGAAAAACGACCACCAAAAACAGGCTACAAGCTTTTGAACTGTAGAAAATGATGAAAATATGATAAACTTGGGAAAGGGAAACAGAGGATAACCCTTTAAGCCCAAAGGGCTTGTGTCAGAAGGGGACCATTGTGTTTACACAAAATCAATTAATCTATGATAGAAGAGTAATGTACTGATACCATTTTATTATTTAATTCTTGGATTTGATCCTTAAAGTAAATGTTAACAAAGAGAAAACATTTCTTTGAATTGCAGCATCTATGGCTGGAATGCGTTTACAAAAAGGTGATGTCGCTGTAAGTACCAACTTTACCATACAACATCTCCATTGTCGTTGCCCTCTTCAATTATGGATTTAATGTCCCATGAATTACTAAAAGATTTACTTAAAAAATTATTGTTTAATCTCCTTCTTCATTTATTCCTTCATTTGATTGAATAAGTATTATGTGTATCCACTCAGGTTAGCCTGGGTACCAGTGACACACTGTTCCTGTGGCTAGAGATGCCTCAACCAGCCCTTGAAGGACACATCTTTGCCAATCCTGTTGATGCCTCAGCTTACATGGCTTTACTCTGGTATGCTGTCAAATTTCTAAAAGTATTTTCTCTTTGTTAGAACAAGCTTAATTTAAACAATTTTTTAGGGTATCGTAAATGCGCTGCGGCACTTATCAAATTTGTTTAGGCCTATGTGCGCCGCTTATTCGAGAGCTGCACTTATAAAATAATATCTGTATGGCGCTTTTTTATTCATTTTAACACTGTATACATTGTATTTAAAACCCTTCGTTTTATTACAGACAGAGTATTAATATACTCTCAATTAAGCGCCACGGAACATGATTGGTGCTGCGCCTATTTGAGAGTGGTGCATATTCAAGCATTTACGGTAACTTTATAAAATGGAATAAATGTGGTCATTCCCTGATTCTTTCAAAAAAAGGACTCCTTAACTTTTATGGGTTTTTTTTATGTTTAGTTTTAAAAATGGTTCCCTAACTCGTGAAAGGATTCGCAATTTAATGGCTGATGGATCATGGGATGTGTTTAGCCACTGTTTGGAGACAACTTATCCTGGTAATGATGGAAATATTGGTAAGTTTTAGTTCTCAAACAGTGGCAGTGCTACAGCAGTCACTCAATAGACTGCATACCTCCACCCTGCGCCTGAATATAGTACCAACAATACACAGTCTGTGTATGATGGGCTAAACTGCAGCATACCCTCAATGAAATAATGAAATCGACCTTCGTATTTGTTGTATCCTTGACTCGAATACATAATACACAATACGGTAATAATCATATCCAAATACTAAGAACTTTATTAGCTTCATTCACACTCAGCTAACTAGGGTTGACTCGACTAACTATTGTTATAAAAAGCACAGCTTATATCCAGCATGCCAGGTGTTCCTAATAATATTTAAATCTGTCCACATCTGTTGTCAACTCCAGAGGGCGCAATATTACAACAGTATTAAGGCACATTATTTGCTTGAGTGTTGTAGCATACCCTCATGAAAATAATGGAATCACCCTTCATATTCAGGCACATTGTTTTCTTGAGTGCTGCCTGAATATGAGGGGTGATTCCATTATTTTCTTTTATGCTCGAGGGTGAACATTTTTGAAATAATTGAATGGTGTCCTCCTTTGATTATTATGTACCATTCCACTAAATTGTATGATGATCTATTCATTAGTTTTTGCGTTTTGCTAACAGACAAAAAGACTTACATACCGACACACAACAGACAGATGCAGTAGCAGTGAATACATAACCTCCTTGGCAGAGGTTAAAATAAGGTTTAATGCATGTATCATGTGAGTGGTATAAATATCACACTGGTTCCATATTTCACCTGTGTTTTCAGGGATTTTCTTTGATGTTCAAGAAATAACACCATCAGCTGTAGGCATACACAGGTGGAATGCCAATGGAGAGAGTGTGTCTTCCTTCACCCCAGGTGCTGAAATAAGAGCTGTGATTGAGGGCCAGTTTCTTGCAAAGAGATTACATGCAGAAAATCTAGGGTACCATATCGGTAAGATAATGTTATCAATGATTATAATCTAGGGTATGACTTTGGTAAGATAATGTATATCTATGATGAAAATCTAGGGTACCATGTCAGTAAGATAATGTTATCAATGATTATAATCTAGGGTATGACTTTGGTAAGATAATGTATATCTATGATGAAAATCTAGGGTACCATGTCAGTAAGATAATGTTATCTATGATTATAATCTAGGGTATGACTTTGGTAAGATAATGTATATCTATGATGAAAATCTAGGGTACCGTTTCAGTAAGATAATGTATATCTATGATGACAATGGTAACAAAAAAAAAATCATGATGACAAGACAATGATTTCCTTGTTCCTTGGGTCATTTAATGATCATGATGACAATAATGAATACACTGGTTGAAGAAAATGATGAGTGTTAAGGATCATAATGACAGTGATGTTTACTATGATGGCAATGAAAATTATAATGATCTGTAGTGACAAAGATGATGATCTTGACAGTGATGATGATCATGATGAAATTTGTGTACAATGAAAATAATGATGATAATAATGACATAAGTAATGAAAATGATGATCATGACCACAATCATGATAAGAAATAAAATCAGGATGATTATGGCAACATTGTCTATTCATCTCCGTAGGTTCTGATTCCAGAGTGTTAGCCACAGGTGGAGCCTCTTGCAATAAATCTATTTTACAAGTTCTGTCTGACATTTTCAATGCACCTGTGTACATACTTGACACTACAAACTCTGCTTGCCTAGGTTCAGCTTACAGAGCCAAACATGGTAGGTTGCTATTTGCTTGTTTAGGCGAAACATTTTTCATACCTTGGTTATCGAACCTGCAGCCTGCCAATAATGATGATTTCGAATGAAAATAAAATTTTGTTTTTGTCATTAACTGTAGCACCTAATAATAATAATAGAAATTTAAAAAAAAAATTAAAGTTTTTCTTTATCATTATTACGCCCACTGCTGCCTTGAAGTCTCCAAAGGTAAGATGTGTATATTTCTTCCTAATTGTATAAATTTAAAGCAGGTAATGCTTTAAGATTAGTAATTAAACCATTTAATTTATGGAGGGTCATATTTGACATACAAGATTTAACATGGAATGGAGCCATTTCAACCCTAAGTATGGTTTACTGACAGCAGTGTAATAACATATATAGGCATATAGACATAAAAAAAAAAAAAAAAAAAAAAAAAAAAAAAAAAAAAAAAAAATATATAATATATATATATAAATTCAAAAAAGAGAAGATAGCCACAAGGTATATAATTAAACTTGGGAGTGTACCCTACAGCGGGGGAGCTGCATGTTCCCCCACTCTTCTTTCTTATTGAGGCCGGGATTATGTATTTTAAATTCTCTCTGCCTCCGTCACTTGTTGCATCATCGGGTTTACTAAGGATTTAGACCTTCATTTCTCCTCTGTGCTCCTCTTTCATGTGCTGATATTACACCGAAGTTTTCCCTTTGTTTACATACTTATTATAGTGTTCATTTACCCTTTCTCCTATGCTGCTAGATGTTTCTCCTCTGTATGTCCCTGCTTCATTTCCACTGCATTCTTCGCATCTTATTTTATTTTATTTTTTAAGGGATTTAACCGTTTCATTACTACACTGTTTACATTCGCCAATAAAATTTTTATTTTTATTTTCTCTTCCGTCTGGATGTTTTTAAACAAATTTTATTTTTATTTTTTCCGTCCTTCTCTGACGATCTTTAAAAAAATAATTTTGTGAATCAAAGTATAAAATAAGTCTTGCCTGTACCAGCAATAGTTTTCCATAATTCTGTTTTATTTTCTCAGGAGTTTCACCAGACTTCTGATTTCATCTAACATTGTTTTATAATAGCAGAATAAGTCTACTGTATTTTATTTATCAAAAGAAAAATATTAAACCTATCAGTTTTCTAGCTTCACCTCCACTGCAATGGAGGTATAATGACTTATCAAAAAATCTTGGTATATATTTCTTTAATAAACATCAGAATTTTGACCCGTTACATTTGAAATGGAGTGAAAGTAACAAATGGAAAACTTGAACATTTTTGCATAGCCTCGTCGCTTGAACATCGGCCTAGCCCAAGACTAGAGAGTCATACAAACGACTTTCTTTTGACTCATTGGTCATCATAGTCAAAAGAAACATTTATTCTACAATTCAGCAATTTAAGTTTGTCCAATAGTTCAAATTGCAGCAAGATTTTTTGGTGACAGTATTTAAGCTGAATGCGTACTGCTAAATCAACAATCCCTTAGCGCTGGATGTGTCGAGTTGCCCAAGCGATAGGCTTAGGCCCCCTAGAAGATCTCTCAAAAAATAAGAATAATAATAATTAATATTTTTTCTTTTTAATGTAACATTTTAATGTTCTCTTGTAATTGTAACTTGCAATTTGGCCATTGGCCACAATTTGTTACAAATGAGGAACGAGTGGTGTGAATAAATGTGAGTTAGTGTTTCCAACACACTAGGTTTTTCTAATTTATTGTGTTGGATTCACTTCCATAGGTTGTGAAGGCGGCGACAAAGTTGCATTCTCTGAAATTGTCAAGTCAGCCCCAGCTTATCAGCTAGCAGCCTCCCCAAGGCTGGAAGCCCATAAGGTGAGAAATAGATAAAAATGGTGATGATAATGAACTTTATGAAAATGAGTATAACAGTATGTTTAAGGTATTGATGATGAGTACTGTATTTATTTTATAGTATTGATGTGGTGTTAAAGAAAATAATGTGATGATGATCTTGATGACCATTATAAATGATCATGGATGTGGTGGTGATCATGGTGATGTTCATGAATAATGTTCATGAATGTGATGATGATCTAGATAATCATCATGTTAAATGATCATTAGCAAGGTACCACTGTATAATCTCTTGTTTAAAAAAAAAATGATAGTGGATGTGATGGTGATCTTAGTGATGATCATGATAAATGATCATGATGATGATCATGATAATTTATCATGATCATCATTAAGATCACCATCACATCCACTATCATTATCATCAACAAGATGGTGGATGTGATGGGGATGTGATGGTGATCTTGATGATGATCATGATAAATCATCATGAATGTGTTGCTGATCTTGCTAATATTTTTGATGATCGTGTGATGGTTACAGTATAATGATCGTGATTATAATGATAATGGATGTGATGATTATTTTGATAAAGATCATGAATGTGATGATGATCTTGATGATGATCATGAAAAAGATGATGGTGAAGGTGATCATAAAATAATACAACAAAAAATGTAAAGAAATGTATTTTCACACTGGTTATATTATTGCTTTTCTTTAAATTTCAGATTTATACCAAAATGCTTGAAAGATATAAAGAGCTTGAGCTGCAAATAGTGTGAAGAAGCTCCCAAGAAAGTAGTTTGGATGCAGAACTTGAAGTAGGCACATTGTGACCAACCACAAAATGATAAATGTTGTATTGAGAGTGAGATATTATGAACCAGAATGTGTAATATGAAATATGAACCTCAGTATAAACAGGATTTTGTCATTTTAATGCTTCAATTCTATTTTATATATATAGTAAATAGTGTCACAAGTATTCTGATAAATACAGGCACATTCCTATGAACGAGCCTCCATTTAGCATGGTCTTGTGCATTTTATTTAGTATAAATACCATTTCTATGCCACCCAAAAAAATCTTCTAACTTTGTTCCAAAGGCTTTTTTTTTTAAATTGCATCTTCATCTGGTAGGAACAAACCATTTTTCCCTTCTAAATTCTATCTTCATAAATTACTTGCAATAGACAATTGCAGAGTATCAATCAAACTTAACTACTCGACCAATCATAACAGGACATTTTGTGGGACCTTAGCAACTACTGTACAAGGGGCGGAGCTTAGCTGAAAGGTCCCTTGCATTTTGATTGGTCTCTGTTGCATCAATTCTCATTTTGTGGTGGAGGTTGCATTTATAGTACACACAAGTATTAAGGTATCTTTCAAAGTCAATTAATTTAAATGGTTTTATTATATATTTTGCTATTCCAAAGCTTCTGATTGTTGAACATGGCTTATTAATCATTCTACTTAATGTTCGTCCACAATTGTTTTTATATTGTATTCTTATCTAGAAATTTGCTCAAGTATTCACAAACATTGATGTTTTGAAAATAGTTTCAACGACATAATCTAAAGTAGAAATATTTCAATGTATGCCAAAATAGATTTATAATTTGTCCTTTATAAAATTACATGCAAGTAGAGTGTAGGCTAAACATATATGCATCACAAAATAACAAATGATAAACTAGTTAATAAATATGAAATGAAATTTTAATTTTAAAGCTTGAGACTGAATACCATTGAAACATTCCGCAAGGTTTGTTTGCAGCTGATCACATGACGTACAGTGGATATAGATGGAGAACTTTGCAATGCGATCAGTGTGAAAGTATAGGGAATAGTAATGTTATGGTTGAGAAAGCACCGTTAACCTCAGAAATAAATGGCAAGGAAAGGCAATACAATTGTTTAAAATAGTGTTACTTATTCTAGTGTTCTTTCTGCTTTTTGTGCTTTGAAATTCAAAAACCTTTGCTAGAAATCGTAGCGTTCAAAATCGCATTTTCCTATTTACCGAGTATCACTGGTGCTGCTGTTTACAATTCATAACTACTAAACGTCATGTGACCAACCTAGCAGTCTATTACATTACATTAGCCTAAACAGTATTTTAAATAGATAAACCTATTACTGTAATTTGCATTTAAAATTATTGTAATTTATTGAAAAATTAATATTAATATAAAAAATTAAGATTAATTGGATTTTTTCTATAATCTGTTTTCAAAGTTTTGTCAACTGCAGATTATAACAACCAAAAAGACCAACTCTTTTACTTAATTAAGAGTTGGAAAATATGAAAAATGAAATAATCATAAAACATAAACAGTACAAAAATATTATTACCATACTGTATTCAGTTAATGATTGTTTATTTCTATTTCCGTTCAATATCTTTTTTTGGTTTATAATATGAATTTGCTGCAGGTTTTGTAGAGCAGTTGATTAATACACTACTGCCATACTGGTTTTCTGTAGTAGTATTATTATTAGTTACTTAAATTGGATTGCCAAATTTTGATCAGTACTTTTCAAAGAACAGTAATAACTCAATGATCAATACACTCTGTTATTAATAAAATATAGATATTTATATTCAATCAACTTACAATACAATGTAATAAATCTTTGTCACAACAGTATAAATACAGCTATGATATATGGTTCATTATGTATACTCAAATTTTTAGGAATAGATAAAAAATATGACTGTTTAACTTAAATTAGTGATTCACAAACTTCATTAAAATCTATATCATCATGTAGAACTTAATAAAAAGAGAATTTTTCAGAAATTGGTTGTTCGATATCAAATCTGAATTACTAATATTCATTCATTCATAATAATGAATTTATTTTGGAATGAAATTTCAATAAATCAAAATATACTATTGTATTATGATTATTTAATAAAGTATGGATTTTTTAAAGTGATAGGAACTTGTAAAAAGTAATTGGAAAATAACAGATTAAAATATAATATATTATAGGTATAGATTGTGAGAAAGAAGACTTCAGTTTAAAAAAAAATAAAAAATATATCAAGCGCTGATTAGGAAAAACTTGTCTTCACCTATAGAGGGCAGCACATAGACTTCATTAATAATAATTATAGAATCTATGTCCTTTTGAAATTACAAGAAAATGGAAAAAGCATTTATAATCTTAATTGCAAGTTAAGATTTTGTAGTAATTGCATGCATAATTCATGTTTGAAGAGGAATTCTGTGACTATGCTAAAGTATGCTTGTATCTTGTATTTTAATACTGATTCAAGTGGCTGAAGAATTAACAATAAAAATGCATTGATTTTTACTAAAATTCAAAAAATTGTTTTTATAATTGACATGTATTTTTTTGTATAATTTGTTTAATTGATGCTAGAAAGTTAGACATTTATAAACATCATTCCCCCTTTTGTAATCTCCCAGTGTATTTTCAGACATTGAAGAATTAGGGGACTAGGCTTCCCTACAGCAGTTGAGGCTGTAGGTATTTTTGTAGTTTTCAGGGGTGGTGATAGTAACCGATGTTCCTGGGCGTAGGCGTGGTCCGGAATTGCTCAAAATCTTTCGGAAATGGTCCGGGGGAAAGGTTCCTGGAAATTGTAAATTTAGAGGTTTCAAAGGTTTATTTAATCGATTTTAGTTTACTAATATGTAAAAATTACATATAATTTATTTTTCTATTCGACGAATTGTTTTTTTTTTCTCTCTGACGAGGAGACTCCAGCGCTCCTTGATGGGGTATCCTCACACCACGACTCCCCACTGGCGCCACCCATGGTAGTTTTTAAAAGCAAGCACCATCATTTCCCCTCTTTGAATCTACCTCTAAGTAACATGCATGTTCCAAAAGATCATTGGTGTATTTAGGAGTATTTATGTGAGAGGGTGCAATGGGCATTTAAGGGAGGGTGTTGGCTGAAGGAATGAATCACAATATAACCCTTTTTTTCTAATTTTCAGACCTTGTAAGTACGAAATTTTTTGATTGATTACCATCCAATTTATGGGTATTTGCAGAAAAATATAGAAACAGTATACTTTATATGTATTTAAGGTTGCGAAAAAAGCTAATTATAAAGTATTGATTTTATTAGTTTTTAGCTCATTGGTTATGGTATATGTATATTTAGTAGATATCTTAATTTTTACTATTGATATATTTTGTTTCCTTCAAAAATTGCCTTCAGTCCTATGTCTTCAGGCATTTTTTTTTTAATGAAATAATGGTTCCTATAATTGCTTAATATATTTTACTGAGTGGGAGTGCTTTTCTCCTGACATAGGAGAAATTTATTTAGTTAGGGACCAGCCCTTCCCATCCTACTGTTTTTGGGGGGTTTTCTTGTGTTTTTGCATTTTTTTTATGAGAATAAGCTTAAACTGCAGTATATCTATTAGATCTCACTAATATAAATGTATATTTACCTCTGTTTTGTTTTCATGATACACTACCAGCAAACTATTGAAATATATTTTACATAATTTTGCTGCTGTTATCAGTTAATAATATTATTACTCCCAACAACTAATTTACAAAACCATGTGACATTTCCTATTACCACCCCTGGTGGTCACAGTCTTCAAGTTTCAGTCAAGGCAGGTGTGTTTCCCATCATGTTTTTAACACCTTTGCTTTCAATTCCTCTCCCCAAAACATGTGCTGGTTTATTTTTCTCCATCATATCTATTTCACTATTAAGTAACTTTAGAAACTGTTTTAGGTTTAATATTTCAATTTTGTGGAAATCATAAACCTAAGAAGCAATCCTTAAAATACAAACACCAGAAAGGTGAGACCACCAGAGACTATTGCCCAGTTTACATGGGCTGCTCTGATCGGGACATTGTTTGAGATCTCAATCACAACCAGTAGACTAAGTTTAAAAGTATTCCACTACAGTCAATAAGATATACTAAATATGGGCATCTGTTTTTGTAAAGGAATTAGTGTGCATCTTCTTTTATAGTCTTGCCGTTTTATCTTTCCTCATCTTCAGGTCACCATATATGTAATGTAAAGTAATGTGGTTGGATTTATAGCACTTTATACCAAAGTCTCAAAGTGCTCGAAGTGTGGACTAACTCGCACAGTTACTTTCTTCTCCCCTAAGGGTCTCTTCATGTCTGGGCTACCCAGAACCAGCTACCTCTCGTCTGTCCACAACACGGGCTCTATGAACCAGTACACTGGGATAACCCCCTACTCGTCTCGAAAGATATACTGGGTTCTTTATAGCGCACACAAGCCATTGTGTACACGTGGCCTACGGTTTTAATAGTCTTTATCCGAGAAGACTTGTTCCACCTCCAGAACCATAGGCAAGCGTGCCATTCGAACCAGTGCCGATATTGCAGCTGTAGGTTGCAGCGCCCTGCCTTAACCACTCGGCCATCCAACTCGCCATATGACGGTTGCCAAGACACTTTATTTTTGTTGACACAGAGCAATCATATTCTCTACAGAAGAAGGGACCAAGTAATGTTGAATGCAAGGATACTCCTGAAAATTTGTCCGACACTCATCTCAATAAGTGAGCATGCATAAAAACATTTGAGATTTGCATGCTCTAATTTTAGAATCGCTATGTCAACTTTTAAACAACCATGTCGATTGAGATCGTGTTGCAATCATCTTCCTTTCCAATCGAATTGAATTAACCATTACTGGAACTGTTTAAAGAGCTCTTCATTTTCAGGATCACACTTGTGTGATCCACTTTGATTGTGATCCAATCTTGATCAGAGTGGCCCATATAAACAGTATGTAGGACTACTCAATATTGTAATCTAAATTGGTAAAAGATTTATTGTATTTCAATCGGCGGTTGGCTGAGAGATATTGTTCCTGCTTCTTGTGGATCTTACTCGGCGAGCGTTGGGTTTTAATTGGAGTGTGATCGCTTGCTTGGCTTCTTAAATAACCCTCACATTAAGTTAAGTAAGTTGTGTGGTGCTGCACTGAGACTGCTGCAGGTTCCCAGCCCAAATTTCCAATTGAATGAGGACCAATAAAGAAGTATTATTATAATTATTATTAAAGTTAAAGATCTGCTATGTAATCTATACTGAAAAAATTATAAGCATTTAAATTAAAATTCCATTGTTTATTTTCTCAAGCATCTTAAATATTTCTTTAAAATGGATTTCAGCGCTATATCAATATATAATATATTTTTATTTGTTTACTAATTAATGAATATTTAAATAAAGCCATATTTATAGTCTTTTTATAGACCCATAAATTGGCTGTCAGCCATTTAAGATTTTTTTGTAAAACATCTGGAAAAAAAAATCATTGAAATTTGATGAGCATGATTTTTTAAATGATCTATTCAAAGGTTTGTTCAATTTTTGGTGGAGTTTCCTCAGTATTCTTGGTTGACAGTATTCTATATATTTAAATTTTTCAAATTTGATAATTGTTCATATTTACAAGAAAAAATTGTAATATCATATATTTCAGCATTTTTCATTTGCAATTTTATGATTACTTGTAATGGAGGTGTCCTCAAGTATAATTCCTCACCCAATAATGTTTAGTATGTGATTAGTAATGCTTCTAAAAATACAATTGTTGATTATATCCTCCTACATTTTTTTTTATCAATCCCTAGCAACGGCCAAAATTATAAAGCTTTCCTTGCTCAACCACTTAATTTACTATTCACATTTTTATATTTGTATATATACCTCTCCATTAGATGTTAATATTTTGCTGTGTTTAATATTGCTTTATTATGTTATGACATTATTACATTAGTATAAATAAACATTGATTATGTATGTGTAAGTATGTACACATGCCACCTACAGAATGTATTGATCACATGACATACTCCATGGCAACTACATAAACGATTGATGTTTTGATCATGTGACACAAAATAGCAACTACATTACTCTTAAGGTATTGATAATGTGACACACCCCATGGAAACTATATTGGCTCTTAATGCATCGATCATGTGACACGCACCATGGCAACTATATTGACACTTAATGCATTTGTCATGTGGCATTCACCATAGCAACTAGATGCTGTGCATTGATCATGTGACATACACCATGGCAACTATTATAATAGAACTATTATAATACACTCTTAATGCATTGGTCATGGGACAATCACCATGGCAACTACAGTATATAGACTTGTATTGCTTAATCCGACACACTCCACTTTAGGCTGCTGTATTCAATAATAAATGCAAAAAACTTATAGTAATTTATTTTTGATCAATAAGTGTATACTCAATCATGATTGTGGAGACCATTAATCATACTAAGTGTCATTACTGAGCGTTCTAATTGGAACCACTCAATTCAGTTTGATGGAATTATTTATGAAGGAATTTCTGTATGATATAAAAATAATTGTTGAAAAAAAAATAAAGTGAATTTTAAGACATTGTATTGTTAAAAAATTTGGTTGTGATAATAACTATAGAGTATTAATACATTTTTATTATTTAATATTTTATATATAAGTTTATATATTTTATTTATATATTCATCTGATTGAATGTCAGATCAAGCAGTAGACACCATATAAATAAGAATATTATTTAATTGACTTTATATCCATTAATTAATTTAGCAATAGTTGCACTATGTTCAAGTAAATAAAACAAAAGTGACTCCAAATAGAGAACTTGCCGTCTGAAAACCAGCGTACTGTCGCTGTAAACTGAGTAATTAGCATAAGAATGTGGCACTATTTTATACTTTAATACAAAGAAGCTGTAATGCTTTTACTCGTAACTATGGCAATAGTAAAAATGTTGATTCCAATTGTCCTATCATTTTATCTTAAAGATTATAATGTCGAGGATATGAATAAGTCACCTGTAATGTTTTGGTAATTGATACTGGTGTTGGCCTGGCAAGCCCCATATAAATTAAGGCCATCTTGACATCTAATTAACACATAATTAATTAATTTAATTACAAATATCCAGTTCACCTATTAAATTTTGCTTTCCAAAAAAATAAGGCCAAATGATACGAATGACTCATTTGTTATCTAAGGATAGCAATTTAGTAATTTGGTTTTATAGGGTTTGTTGAGACCAATGCATTGCAATTATGGCTAAACATTCTGGGGTTAACGATAAAACGAGGCCTAAACACGTACAGACAGCCATTATGCTACTACAATGAGCTCAAGGCAGTAGTCAAGTTCATGGTTACTGTGAACAAACAAAAGACCTAATGCAGTTGGTGATTTTTTTTTTTCATTTCCCCAGGCACTCTTTTTTTTTTTTTTTGCTCTTTATAGTTATGATGATCAGGAAATTTGCAATTTAAACCAAAAGTTATTAGAATAATGTCTTGGGATTATTTATTGTATTCTTATTCCAGATTTATTTTGTGAATTCATAAGTGTATATCTAGAAGGTGTAAATTTGACTGATTGATAGTGTGTTTGTCTGGAACTGGTTTCAATTACAGGGACAATATTAATAATTTCCTTCCCACTTAAAATTCCTACTTTTGTCCTGGTTGTCAAAATCGTAAATTTTGACAGAAACTAGTTTGACTAAACACTGTTTTAGGATCAGTTTAGTCAACAATTGCCAAAATCTGTTTATTCTTACCAGGTCTGTAGCCAGGTTCTTCCAAAGTGGGGGATGGGGATCTGGGAGTGGAGTCCAGGGGGAAGCCCAGGTGGAGCCAACAAAACCCCAGGTGATTTTTCTGTTTTAAGGTTTTTAAAAGCAGTTATGTTTGAGAAAGGTCTGCAGAAAACATTCCATATGAGTCTGGGTGGGTCTGCAGTACATTAGTTAGGTTAGAGGACTCATTCTGGAAATTCGAGGGGAGGGGGGAGTTCGCCAGAAAGAGTGGGTTTTGCAAGAAAAGGGAATTTGCCCGAATCATAACATAACCATCCCCTCCCCAGGCTACGGGGAGGGGGTTTAATTATTCATTTTGAAACAGTTGTTGGGCCCCCTCCCCTGGCTACGGGGAGGGCCTATAATTATTAATTTTGAAACAGTTGTTGAGATATCCACTTGCCATGCTTCCTTCAACCTCCATTTCTCCATCCTTTCTCATTCTTATAAATTTCCAACGTTTTCTTTTACTCTTATTAGGCCTACAAGATGAGTTGATTCTATTTAAAATTACATGAAGAAAAAAAAATATTTAAATTGTAATTGGTAGATGAGATATCTATTATGCTTTTAGGCCTGGGAAGGATTTCCTAGAGGTCAAATTGGGTTATTAAGGGTCATTGAATTGTGTCAGGAATGTACCTCCCAGGAACTACCAGAAAGTGATCTCCACTGGGCTGTAATTGGTTGTCATGGTAACAATAATGGCTAATGCGGAGAGAAATTGTTGATCTCAGTATTCTGATCTAGTCATCCTTTGAAAAGATGATCCTAAATCATGGATAACAAACAATTTATAGTTTCTTCTGCTCATTAGTGGTAAGTATTTATTACTTCTGTAATGTTATACATGTCAACCACACTCATCAAGATATACCGTAGATGGCTGTTGTGATTTCATAGGCCTACTGCTATTACGAGAGTATTACTACTTGAAGTATTTCTTTAAAGTGAAAGTGAATTAGCTTAATGCCTAGTTAACTTTATAAAAATTTATTTCTAAATTCTTGAAGGATTTCCAATAATTGTTTATTGAAGTTTTCATTATAGAACTGTATGGCTACCATATTTTGAGTTTGTATTGACAAAAGTCTCACTTATACTTAAATTGCTATTGCTGTGGCTATATGGGAGGGGGGTTAGTTTTTACCACCCCAGTTTATCTGATGCTAAATTTACAAATAGCCATCCTCATAATATGTTCACAATAGAAAATGGTATCTACAATGTTCTGCTTTGTTCATCGACGTACTTTGTCTTGTTTTGTAGTACAACCTGCATGCTACCTTTTTGCTTGAAGATAGTTCTACCTAATAAATTACATCCTAATTTATAAATTAATGAATATTAGTATTGATATTATATTTTTTAATATACTTATTTAACTTTTCAAGTCTTTGAACAAGGGTGAAACCCAAGTTTTATATTAGAGCATTTTCCAAATATATGGCATTTGGACCATGAAGAAAAGTTTAATCATCCATTGCTTGTATCACTTACTGTTCCGCTTAAATTACCTGCAAAGTTTAGTCACCCATAATCATAAACATTCGTTAACCTTCATCGACAAACCTTGCCTTTCTTGCACAATTTTCATTAAGGTCATGTTTCATGAGACAAAGATAATAACTACCAAATAATTTTGATGAATTTTTTAATAGTTTTTTTTTCTTTATGCGGTCATTAAATTATTATTTGAATATGGGCAATATTCTATATTTATCTACATTGATTGATAATTCTATATTTATCATTAATGAATAATTAATTGTGTCCTCCCATTTGGTGTCTGTTAACAAAATTATTGAATATTTAAAAACAGTTGAAAGAGTATTATAGTATTATTTACTCTTGAGATAATTTGCTTGGAGGGGCACATTTAAATAAAATGACATACTCAATGTGTTTCTGACTTCTATTTTTTTTTTATATACTTGTAGTCAATCAATTAAAATGTCTTCTTTTTGAAATATTTAATTATTTTTATCCATTTATTTAAAAAATAATAATATTTTATCAGAGTGATTGCTAAAAAATATTAATATAAAATGGAAATAGTATGTTGGTGTAATCTTTCATATTATCCCTTAAGGGCTCGGATGAAATTCTCAATTGATGCAGTTATATCCACGTCTCATTGTTCCCATAATGCAAGAAGTATTGGTTTTCCAACATCTCTATTTACCCTCTTATTGGTTTCATTGATTCCACTTCGGTCACGCTCCGTTGACCTGTAAATATTAATCACATATCCTCCATGGTATTGTCACAGACACAATTTGTCTACAAGCGAAGGCTGAAGTGTGTGTATGTGTGTTCATGCTTACTTCTAATCTTGGAAATACAGTTCAAGAATTTTCTGGATGGCGTGTGGCTTTACCATGACAACGAGAAGCTAACAATCTTAGAAGTCAACTTGAAAATCTGTTAACAGGTAAAGAACAACAAAATATAAATGATTGTTTTCATTGCGATAAAATTAATTTCAACTGTTTATGGATTACATTTGATATTAGTTATTAACAATCATGCACTATAAAATTAAAATTAAAATCATTTTCTGGTAATGGTCTTTCAAGGAACAGGAAATTTCAAGAAACAAAAATTTTCAAGGAGACGATACATACCTTATACTTAAAACAAAAATAACAAGTTCAACAGTAGGTTTGATTAGACATTTTATTACTATTGAACCTCTTGTTTTTGTTTTAATCTGCTCTGGTGTAATTTCCATTGAGCTCTCTGCTGTTCAGGAATTTGCACACGTTCAACAGTTTTATACTTTACGTTTGTATATTTATTGATTATTATTTAATTAATGTTGTAATTACCAATATAGGGTGTTCTAGTTAACAAGGTTTCCTTGGTGTCTCATGATACATTTCAATAATAATAGATCAACCATAATTTATGCACCTCCCCTATAGTATAGAAATAAATTACTGTGTTTGAATTAATAGGGATGAGGACTTTAGGTTTAAAAATATTGACAGTCTAAAAATGTATTATTATTGTGAATATAAAACACGGTCAAGTATATTTCAAGTGCCTGAAAAAGAGCTAAAAATTTTAAGAGTTACGTTTATCAGGAAATTAATAAAATAAATTGTATATTAATATTAGCACTTGCTTCTTGGCATTATTCTATGAATAAATTTAGAATATTGTACGCTATTCCCCCACCCCTTGTATATTAGGACCAAGAGTCCTCTTCCTAGCAAACTGGGAAAATAATTTGAGGTTTCCTCATAAAAGGTTTAACAGCTGCACTCAAGCAAGATTTAAAGTCAGTTTTTGTTTTTCAATTAAAATTACAAACAGATGATAAAACTATTAAAAATAACAAGCACAAATTGAGAAAGCAGACAGCGCTCCTCCAAGGGCTTCAGTCCCTTCACCAACCTCCTCCGGTTTCAATCCCTCAAAATTGAATTACTAAATAATTAGTTACATTACTCAAATCTCAAGTTTTCTTTGATATATTTATTGTTTGTAAATAATTTATCAGAAAAATGAATATTTGTTACCATAGTAACAATCTCCATTTGGTCAAGACTCACAGTGGTAGTTCCAAAGGTCGGGATTTCCAAATTAATTGCAAATTAAGAAATGCAGTTAAATTGCTTTTACTTTATCCTTGCCGAATATGAATGATATGTAAACATTAGAACTAAAATTTCAGATGATTTATACTAAATCGAGGAATGATGTTCCTTATAAACGGAGTATATGTCTTAGAACAGGATCATTTCTGAGGAAGTGGAGTTCGGAGTATACAATACAAAAATTTGTTTGAGCTTTTATTTTGTAATACAATATTTGAGATATAGAGTATTATCTTAAACATGTCGCAACCTGAAAGAAACAAGGCAAGTTAGTAGTATAGAATTAGAAGATTATTATTATATTTAATTTATGAGGCTGTCAAAGTGGTTTCATTGGAAGTCGTTGCTCTGAATATCGGACATATTGAATGATGCACGTACTATGTCCTATAAAAAAAATCCTCATCACCACCATATTGAATATATTGATTAGGTGTTAAAATTAGTATTTTCAAATAATATGTAAGCCTTTATTTTGTAGTTTCTGCTTCTTTTCAGGTATGGGAATTGGATAATATAGATCCAGTGGTTGTAAGGAAAATGGAAGCAACAACAAGGCGTGTTCCCTCCTCCACTAACCTTCTAAGTATGTTGAAATTTATCTCAGTTTGGCTTTTTAGCAATACACGGTGTTGATAAACGGAAAATGATTTTCACGTTCTTCATACTGACTTATAGACAGCGGCGGCTCCAGTGGTGGGGGGGAGGGGCTAAAGCCGGACCGGACAGGTCAAGCCCCCCCCCCCCCCCCCGACAGAGCTCGTCAGGCAGTTAGACTAAAAAATACAGTATATAAAAATAGGCCCATGCCAAGGCAACACATGTCTGTCACAATCAGAGAGTGTCATTTCTGGCCATCCAGAAAATCTCATTTGGGAGGGGGAACACCCTCTCAAACCCTTCTCCCAGCTCTGGCCTCTGAGCCCAAGTCCCCCTGTCGGACAGCTCAGCTCCCCCAGAAAATATATCTTAGAGACGTCACTGCTTATAGCCATGTACTCACTGCATCTTTGCTCTGTTCGATTAATGCAATATTATCTGCTGATTGTTGATGGGCGTTAATGAATGAAATAAAATAAAGTTAAAATAAAGTTGTGTATCTAAGGGAAGAGTTAGAAGGACAATTCCCTGGAAAATGTTTGCACAACCTGACACCCCCTTAGAAATTTGCTAAGTATAAGAATTACTCTCAATTGATTAAAATCACCTCAAAGAGAGGAGTTGAATAAACTCACTGAAGTTGCTTGTTTTCCAATTCCAGTGTCCTGGGTTCAATTCCTTGATCATTGAAAATAGAATTATTTTAAAATTTATATCAATTTTTATTTTGTTCAGAATCAAGACCAAGTGGTATTCTGGAGGTTCATACCATGACACCATTGGAACAAGAAGAAGAATTAAGAGAAGCAATGAAGTTACCCCTTGCATCAATCAGCCGCCAGCGTCTCCGTGCAATGCAAATTAACTTTCGACGGTGTAGTTCTGTTGATGATTGTATTTCAAGCAAAGAGCTAATGAACGTGTTTAATGAACACAATCTAGGAATTCCAAATCGAACATTTAAAATGCTGACTACTAGATTCAATGAAGGAGTAGGAGTCAATCATGAACGTCTCTGGAAGTTTTTAGTAGAAGCTCAGTCCAAAACAGGTAAAATATATTGCAATTATATAAAAGTGAGAGCAGCATAGCAAAGTTGGCTAAAACTGGTGGTAGCCACTGTGTGTGTGCTGAACTGTGGAGGTCTCTTGGTGCCTAGCTTAATTCAAATTGCTGCTCTCTTGCTGTTTAACTGGAGTGCTGAAATGCAAGTCTTGAACGTGCACTGTCTTTTGGATGAGATGTTTAAGCTGTTGGTCCTGTTTACAATATGGCCCTTGTGCACGTTAAAGATTGGGATTGTTTCCCAGCGTACTGCCCAATCACCACCAGAAGGACCCTACTGGAAATAAGTCTTCATCAAAATTTCGTGGGTTATCCTGGGTGTTTACATCAAATAAATCTAGGAATCTTATAGTTTTCATGATTGTATATTATGATTGTTGATTAATGTTTCCAGTTTTAAAAAAGGAAATATATAGTAGAATCAACTATTCTAGGTTTTTTAAATTTTAAATATATAAATTCATATTCAATCGGTGTTGTTGATGTGGATCCACGTATGTCTCATCGTAGGAATAAATCAGTAGGTAGACGCAGACAAAATAAACTGCTACGATACTTTGACTTGTAGGAGACATAGA